GCCGGGCCCGCCCAGATAAACACGGCCTAAACACACTCGACGCATTCGAGTGGGACGCGAAAGGCGAGCATCGGACGAGCTCATCGCTCAGACAGGCACCACGGTGAATATCAAACACCGGTCTGCCCAGCCCAGCCAGCCCGGCCTACCAGACCTCACGTCATGAAATAATAAATGCTCGGTCATGACTACAAGGCGTCACGTCAAAATGTAACGACCACTGAAGGTGATCGACAACACGATCGAAAACACAGCTCCGCCCACGCGCGCATTCTCGCCAAAGAGCCACTCCTGTTTTCCATCGCTGAAGTTCGACACTTCAAGGCGAGCGCCAACAGCTCATTTCCGGAACGCATACCGCCTCGGAGCCAATCGGGCGCGAGTCGCCGCAGCCTGCGGCGATCAAACACCGCGTGTCCCCAGAGACCGCGGCGTCGTGTCAAATCCGCCAGGACGCGGCGCCGCTGGCACCAGCGCGCACCAGTCCACTACATCATCGGCAGACTGAAATATGTCGGCAGGGGAGACGATCTCCCCCGACGGGTCCGTTTCACCATCCGAGGTTCGCGCTGAGAGAGCTGGAGTTTCGCGCTGAGACAGCGGCAGCGCTGGAGGTCGTACTGGAGGCGGCGGAGAAGGCCGGGTGGCATCGGGAAGTTATTCATGGACTTATGCTAATGTAAAGCCGCCGCATCAGACTCCCCGAGCCGCGGGGTGGGCCGACGGATGAGGCTGGAGCCTCCGATAATGGCGGAAAGCTGCGGTCTGACACACAGACCGAGCGTATCGCCTCACACAACAGCAGGGAAACTAATGGACCAAGTGGTCTGATGATGCGGCGAGTTCAACCAGCCGCCGAAGCCATTATTATGAGCTTCCATCGTTATCAACAAACCACTGCGGTTATCAACATTCAAAGCCAGTTGGGGAAATATTTGTGCAACCGGCTACAAACTGGTGAATTTTACGGTGGCTGGAATTGTGGAATACTTAACCGACTTTGATCTGCTCATCGGTGGCTAATGCTTAGCAGCCAATTAGTGAAGCAACATGCTCAACAAGAATGTAAAAATAGCGAATACTGATCTGTCTATTGACGTAACATCGGTGAGGGCCATAAAACCTCATGTTAATTTTTCCCCTTTGAGTTGCTCATTGACTCATCAATGAAGATGAACGAATTTACTTGATGAGCTAGGTCATTGGAAACAGGGGTAGCGGATGAGTTTACGATTAGAAAGTTGAGTGGAAACAAGATTTTGAGCAATTACTCTTTGAAAAAGATTTATTTCGGGTAACAAATGAGGTAACCGCTAGTGCGCATAGAAGCTTGACAAAACATCAGAAAAGTTAGCTGTACCTTCCAGTACCTCCAGTTGGTATTTTTCGCCAAAACCCCGACTATTTTGGACTGCGGCGACTGCTGAAGGAATTCAGCGTCATCCAGCGGCTTTCTCTGAGCCGATTACAGCCGGCGGCAGACCTGTTTGTCTCGAGTCGCACCAAACGAGGATGGCGGCGCCGAGGATGCCGCGGAGCTGCGATTATGCAGTCTTCGTCGGAACAAGTCCGCAGAATGCCTGCTACATTATTTAAAAGCATCTACAACTTCACACTTCAGAACTTCCTGAATTTGAAGTTCGCAATCAACAGCATTCCACCTTACCTACGTCTAGTATCCTGTAGAAGCAAGGCACATCGCCTCCAGGCACCCCGAGGTTACTTTGTCACCCCGACGTCAAAAAGCAGTCCGCTATTTCGATGTGCGTGCAGCCGTCCGGCGTCACCCCGTGTCGCCATTCGGCGGCGTCACGTGACGGCCAAACGAGTGTCTCGCGCTGGGCCCGCCCGCCTGACACACCGGCGACAGATGGGTTCACGCCGGCCGTGATGATGATGATGATGGCGATGATCTTGGCCTCGTGCGGCGTTCCTCACGTGACCGCCGATGGCAGACACCGTGACCCCACGCCAAGTGTTGTTGTCCCGTCGCACAATCCCTGGATCATTATGTCTAAAGGTCTGGCAATGTCTCCTACACAGATCCGCTCTAAACCCTTGGATTTCACTGCATAGATGCCAACTTTTCTCGTAGGAATCGCAGTCCATTTTCTGAAGTTTGAAAACTTAAACCAGAGTCCTAAGAGATTCACCTTCAGATTCACCTCAATTTAGAGTTATCTGGCATCAAATGGCCCCATACATCAGCTCCTCCTCAGGGATCCAACCGCATCCGGGGGTCACATTTACAACCGTTTGCGCTGACCAATTCCACCACCACAGGTCTGCCACTTTGTTACCTGTCATTTCCTTCCCTCACCCCCAGACGCTAGACTATCAGCACCCACAGCGTCCGGTTCGCCCACAGCTGATCTCAGAGGCTGGGAGTGCCGAGTGCAGAGGAGACGAGACGGTGACTTCCAAAGGCCGACCGCGCCCAAAGCTCCCACATACAACTGGGCTGGGTCGCCAGCTCAGGTCGTTGACCCTTTAAACAGAGATGGGTTTTAACACATGATCGCGTGATTGCCATGCGAGCCGGAAGTAATGCATCAGGATAACTGGTGAATCATGTTAACCACTCGATCAGGGCGGACTCCAGATGCGTGTGGCAAGGACAGAGTGTGATGATCGTGTCCAAATAGCACCGACTGAAAGGGAGCCGGGGAAGATCCCTGAACTGACCTGCATACCCGGACATTATTAGTTGCAATGCAGACATGCAATGTATCACCAAGACTTAGTAACCTTGCAGCGACCTACAGTTAGCCCTGAGCCGCTATTTGGGCCACATTTGTTCATTGAGGCGTTTAACTCCATTGCCCCAATTAACTCAACAGCCACACAACTACACAGCGAAGCCTACACCATCCCACTGGCAACAGTCTGCTGTTTTTCGTCATATCAACGAAAACGCATTAGGGAGCAGCTACCGGTTTGATGCATAAGCCTACTAAACGACAGCCTGACAAACTGACCATCATCCCCGAGCCGAACCGACGGGCCCTAATAAGCCGTCAAGTTTGCCGGGCTACGAAGGAGCGACCGGTTTTCCGAGAACGCGCCCGAGCTACCCACCGCCAGCCAGTCTAGTGCCTGGCTGACATCGGCGCATATCTCAGAGGCGAGGCAGCCGTGGCACAACAAGCCGGTGTGTTGTCATCACGCCACCGCGGTGCCAACTCAGCACCAGAACACACACACAACCACCGACCCAAGTGGCACATCAGCGCCGCAGTGGCGGCCTAACTCCCGAGCGAGCGGCGGCTCTAAATAGCGCCCAGCTCAAAACAGGTTTCTCGTAAAATCAATACCTGCCAAGACCAGCCGCTGGCGGTGGCGGCGGCAACGAGCGACCGAACGCCGGAGCCTGCCCGTGTCGGACCGCTACCACAGCAGAGCAGCAGACGTGGCCGGGCCGCGGATTTGTCAGCAGATAAAAACTGCAGCGATACCGCCGCCGCAGCGGACACACTTTCCTCGCGGCACGTTGCCGGGTGATGTTGCGAACCGGCATTGGCTGGACGACGCGCTGGGGACAGGCGGGTGGACACGCGGGTGGCGGACGGGGCTGGGTGTGGGGCCGTGCGGCGAACTGGCGGGGTGCGGCGATGGGGGCGACAGGGCGGTGCGGCCGAGTGTAGCCGGTAATGTGACTCGCGGCGGGCGGGCCCGCCACAGGTCCACCAGGCGCGAGTGCGACCCACGCGCACCGCGCCGCCTCCAGGTCAGGTTCGCCGCCATTGTTTGTCTCCGGAGCACTGCTCAGGCACGCCATGACTGTCGCCGCCGTCGCACCGTGCGCGACCGCCACCGCTGTAACCACCGGACCGTTCCCATTGGGACCGGTTATCGACGCTCGTGCAGGACCGGTGGCCGTTCCCACACCGTGCCCGGTGTCAGGCGGAAGGAACCGCCGCGTTAAATGGCCACCATAACACCTGTCCTCATGCCATCCCACCTGCTTAGAGGACCGACAAAGGAGCATCAGCTGTTCACCCATTGATTGGCACGAAAGGAGGCTGGCCGTTTGACGACAAGCTAGGCAGCTGGCCTACACACTGCGTCATTCGCTCGGTATCCCGTCCATACCGTACACCAATCAGCCCACCATCCGGCCGCGCCCACCGACGACGGTCGTGTCGCCGGATTTCCCAGAAGAGACCGACGAACACGCTGACACGACGACGACGCCCGTCGAACTCGACGAGCCGATGTCAGACGACGTCACGGCGACGGACACGGCGGGTGGCCGTCGGCCCGTTCGGCGCTCAAATTGGGACCGGGCCGGCGGCCACTGTCACCGGCGCGTGCATAACAGGCCGAGATCGGCGCGTAGCCGCCACGGAATGGGATCGGCGCAGACGGCGGGAGACCGGGGCGGGTGACGTTGCGCCGGCACGTCACAGTCCGCGGTGTGAGGAAACGTTAGTGAGTTCTGCCCTCCGCCGTCAGTGGTGTTAGTGGTCAACCACAATTCAACTGTTCTGCGCACTCTAATGCGACTATTTTAGTGTTCTCAACATGCATTGCGCAAAACTGGGATTCCTTGTATCAGTGTCCAGATGACTCAAGACGGCAAGGCGTCTAAAAATGTGTCCCAGCAGCGCTACAGCAATCTGCAAACGTCACTGCTCTATGTAGAGATAACAAGATCGACTGCAGGACCAACGATGACAAGTGCGTCTGGAGAACATTCGCGAGAAAAAATCCCGTCGGGTGCGCTCAACTAACACGCTTGCAGCGAGCTCCGTTAGCTTCTTGGAACAAACTGCTGTTCCATATCAACAAGCATACTAAAAATACCGCGAAGTGTGGTTAAATAACTCAAAACGGCCTCGTTTCTGAGGGCGCTTTGACACTTGGACGGGCCTTGAGCCGACAACTAGAGCGGGGACAGATTGATGTATGACGACGAAGCTGTCACCATTTGTCACTTCTGCGCCGTTTCCGTCACTCCGCATCGTTCGCTGAAAGGGGACCCCGGAGAGGGGACTCACCGCGTACGCCGAGATGAGGAAGGCGGCGTTGGCCCTCTTCTTGTTGTCCATCGTGGTGTAGTGCACGATCTTCTTCTTCGCGTGAGCCACCGACTGAAATAGGAAGAAACATCTGTCAAACACTAACCAAAGTCGACAGTGTGAGCTTCAAACACCAAACACAAATGATCCATCCGCAAGGCGCACAAGACCGAGCCACAAGGCAGGGCGACTGCAGGGACCATCCCGCATTGGATGCCGCCGCCATTATGGCTATGCCTCTGGCAGAGTGATGGCGTTCCCTGTTTGCACAGACCATTTGCAGAGCTTGGTTACAAGCTGCGCGGCCAGTCCCTGGCTATATTAGCACCGGCCAACTATTGATGCGATGAGGTATATAAATACTGCGCAGCCGGCTGGAAAGGAGCCCCATACCGATGTGCCTCTATGCAAGTCTATTAGCGCACTGTGCGGTCGAGCATGGAAAAAATATGCTGTAATCACAGTAACAAAATGAATAAATGTGAAACGCAACTATTGAATTTCGCATGCAGTGAGCACAGTTACTGCAGAGCTTAATGCATATTGCATAAGTCGGTCGAAGTTCCAAAATAAGAACCTCTAAGCAGCGGAGTTCCACCCATCTGCCGCTAACGACAAAATGATGGGCTCTGTGAAGGCAGAACCAGTTCTTACAAGACCTAAAACCACAGACCATTATCATTTATACTTTTTATTAGCACCACACACCACGCACCAATTCACCAATCATAGCGTCTCGATTTGCAGTGTCCTGTTTAAAATCCATTAATAGCTCATCAACTCGCTAAATGTCATTCGGTTGAAACATTTGTCAGTTAATTTTCATCAAATGAGGAACGTTCGACCCAAGCCTATTTTCAGCGGTGCCAACTAGGGGGCTAATCGTAGCAAATCGGATATTATGCCTCCTGCTTTGTTACTACTTCTACTTAAGCATTTGCGATAACTCCAGACAATCGCAATGCAGGTATAGTAAAGACAAGCACAGAACAAGGGCGAATATTTTTTAATCATTAAGTGTAGGGTAATGTAAGAAGTAACATTTCTATTCGAAAAACATGTAAAACAAATGTGATCAGATGGCTTTTAGACATACAGCTATTTTCAACTTGGAACTTTGGGCGGACACTGAACAATTATTTTTCAACATCGGCACCGCTAGTGCTAACTGGCTGTTCAGCATGTATCCAGGCGTGCTGATTGTTGACACGACATAGCCAGAGGCCGTAGCAGCGACTGTGACTGTTTGGACGTGCGCCCAGTATCTGGGCACGGCTGCCGCATCTCTCATCATCACAGCTGTGCTCCGGCGCAAACAATATCGGCACAAACACGCGCCCGGCAACAGCGCCGAATTCTTCTCACCGGCCTGTCTCCAGTCGTATCCAATACTATGCCTCCGCGCTCCCAAACCACTGCCGTTTGTTGTCCAGAAACCATCAACATCTATGACACCAAGCAAACTTTCAGCCGGCGTCCAGAAAAGCCTGTCTCTCGAAGAACCGCGACTCGTTCCCCCCTCGGGATTTGCTGGCCCCACTCTAACAGAGACGACCTATTTTCCACTCCCGCCGCGGTCTGCACCTACAGCGTCCATGGGGACCAGCGCTGCACCAGCTTGACAACGCCGCGGTGCCCTTTATCTCGCGGACCCAGTCCAGTTAGCAACAGAGAACCGTTTCTCAGCGGCCGGTCGCACATGGCGCCACGCAGCCGGTCGGTGCATGCTGGCCACACAAATCACCGGGTGCGGCGGCTGCTGCTGGTGCGGCGGCTGTGGAGTCGGTCTGCCCACAGCCGAACCGGACTGCCGCTCAGTATGCAGGGGACGCTTATGTCATGGCGGCGCACGGCGTGGGTGCAGCCGGTCCGGCCCGCCCGGGCTCGGCTCAGTCTCGCCCCAACGTGCCACAGAAACTGCACAAAGAGGCTGCTTCAGGATCAGGCGACTCGGGATAGAACAGCAAATATTCGCCAGCAGACACTGGCACAAAATGTAGAGTTCAAATAAAAGGAGCAGTCGGAGCAGACCAGCCGCTCACTCTTTATGAGACAGCAGTCTCAGACTTTCTAAAGTGTTCAGAAGAAGTTAATGAAGTTAGCCAGCGAACGGATTTTCATTTGAAGACTTCGCCGTCCCGTGTCTAGCACATCAGCGAGTTGAAATTTGTCAAATTGAGTTTTAAAGACGAAGCTAACAATCTTCCAGTAGAAATGCTGAAGACGACGCGTCAGCATACTGTCATTAAGCTTCATATCCTGACGACCACACTCCACAACCAGCGAATCCCTGCACCCCTCCCACCACTTTGCTCGCCTCCCTCGCTCTCTGCCAGTGTCTCGGTCAGCTTCCGCCGGCGTCAGTATCGATTCCTGGCCACACAAAGAACGAGAGGCGGGCGGTCCGGGGCCCGACCGGGGCGGCTGAGCAGCGGCACGCCCCTCTCCCCTGCCCACTGCCGAAACTCATCAGCGCAGAGGCTCCCAAAACAGCAGCGAGCCCACGTATTGAGGTGAGGATCAGCAGAGCTGACAGAAACGTCACGGAGGGAAGCACGCTAATTCCCCATCAGGATAACACTAATTGAAAAATGATAAACACCATGCATATAAATGATGGCTGTCGGTTCGAATGATATCCTACTCACTGGTGTTATCTGGTCACAAATTTTTGTCTCCCCGGTATAAGGTCACATCAAATGAGCATTCCATATGGTTAGTAGCAGCCCCAATAGCAAAAAGTCCTCAACGGTCACGGAGGAAAGCTTCATGGAGTCGTTCAATCATTCAAAACGTTGAAGCGAATGCCGTGCTATCTCGTAGCTCTATTCGCTCACATTACACTCATCAGACCGACATTGTCACGCCACCTAACCTGAGCCATCACAACTCAGTGGCATGAGTGAACCGCAATCGACCACATACCATGCATTCACGAACCAGCATTCTTTCAGCGCCGACTAGCTGCCCATGTCGAAAACGGCCGCAGATCGCGCCAAACACTGAAATCAATCGCATTCCAATCACATTTGTGGGGGCGCACAGACTCGCTCGTGCGTGAGCTATCGTGGGACGGCGTTCCAGCGATTCCTCTGCTCCAAATACGCTGGCCAGAACGCAGAATTCAATCGTCAGTCGGAAGGACAGATCCTAAACATAGTCGACCTACCTCGCCAACGCCGTCGCCACCGTCGTATCTCAGGTGCTGAGCAAGTTCCTCGAGCACCTGTCGCATCGCGTAACCTGACTCGCATCTGGACTACGTGACTACGTGGCGGCCATCCAAAGGCTTTCCGCCACGGCCCACCCCACTCGCGGTCGTTTACCAGTGGAAGGGGAGCCGGCAGTACCAGGCGGGGAGGATCAATCGATGGATAAGTGCCGGGGCAGGAACAAGGCAGGCACAGCGCAAAGTGGTGGAGGCGGTGTGGCGGCGACGTACGCTGCGCAGGAGCGCGGGCCAACGACGCAGACGGGTCATGTATGGGATGTGGCGGAAATAGGGTGCTCAGAATAGACCCAGACTGCCTCGTGTTGAGAGATTTACTAGCTCTTCATTACAGCATGGATCGATGGCTGCTGGAAGAGGCAGTTACAGCGCCGCTCCTGGTAGGCAGTTGCGGCGAAACAACGCACAATGGATGATCAAAGAAGTACTGAATCAGCCCAAAAACCAAACAAAGGCTGAACGACGTGCTTGCATCCTGTCGTTTATCACAACAGGAAGCGGCACAACCAAACAAGAACAATGTGCCAAGCACCCATTAAACCCATGACCCATTCACCCTTCCTCAAGCGCGACAGTCATTTAACAGTGGATGCCTTAGCACATCAAAACCAAAGAACCAGCAAACGACACATTCTTTTCTCGCCATCCGCCCGTCAAACCACTCGCCTCGTCGCCTGGGGTCGGCCACCCACGGCACTGGGAGGACCCAGGGACCGTCGACTGAGGTGCGGCCGCCGCCCGCAGTCCTACTCCCACGCCAGGTGCCGAGCCGCCGCCTTCGGGATGTTGGGGCGTCAGGACGAGCCCAGCGAGGCCACAGGAGTGTCGCCGCCCGCCGGGCAGCAATAAAACGTGACCTTAGCAGGGGCAAGTTTAAAAGGCAAGGGGATTGCCATTGGCCGTCGAATCGAGTCCTCGACGTGTGTGGGGATAACTCACGGATGTAACACATAAGAGTAACGGACGGCCTACTAAGGCAGTGAGACGCACTGGGCAGTGACGTGACAGTCGGGGAACGAGACCGTGAGAGAGAAACGATCGTCACACCACTGACCGCCAGAGCCGCCGACTGCAGCCCACTCAGTAGCCAGTTCTGATCGACAGGCAATCCAATATCCGGTCCGGCAAACGCCCGCGAGATATTTCACAAACGTCAGATCCATTCATACTAGAGATGCCCTTTTTGAACCCGCAAACCCGCTTTCTGCGGGTTTTCAAAACCCGCAGGGTTTTTGGCGGGTTCAAGAAGCAAAACTTGTCGTGTGGCGGGTATTTGGCGGTCAGACTTTAGAACCTATATTTTTTTTTTTTAGATGCAAAACACAATGCCAAGTGCATTTGCTCAGGTTAACAATACAATATTCATCAAAACAACTTTTAAAACAGAACCAAATATAAAAATATATCAAGGAAGCACATTTCAAATGCAAAACTGAAAACAACCAGCAATAGCAACCACAGTCTAACAATGACCAAACCAGGGTACAAACAACAAACTACAAAGCATAAATAAATGCTGATGAAAGCATTCCATAAAACATAAAAGAACCTGAAAGCAAACTTATAGGAAGCTGAACTGAAGTCTATGTGCAGTGTGCACTAGATATACATTATGGAAGAACCCAGACTAAAATGAGATGTTGATGTTGAAAATCAGAGCAAATGCCACATGTTACTTTATTTGCGTCTGGTCGGCATAAAAAAGAGCTAAACAAAATTTGATGCAAATTCATTGATTACCTATCCCACTCTATGTTCTGTACCACCCTATATTACGAAAATAACACACCAATTACCTGCAATTACCCTTACAAAAAAAAAAAAAAAAATACTGACTGGCATG